ATAATTAACTGAAACCTTCATAAAAATAAGCACATCATAAATTGCAATAAACATAGATCAATTAAACACAAATGTGCGTATGATTTTTAGGCATTACCTATTGATCTAAGAATGAAAATTCATAAAATAAATAGTCATACAAGTCTGGCAAGTAAAATAAGCAATTATGTGTCAGCGACTCATAAATGGGCATGGAGAGTGATGGAAAGGAGTGTTTTTTTTTTGTCTCTTATGCAATGTTAAACCAATGTATTATCAGGTGAGTACAGACCAGCTTGGTGGAAGAGCTCTTTGATTATAGGGGAGCTCGGTGCTAGAGTTCGCATAAATAAAATGGTTGTTAACGTTTAAGATCATTTTTATACAATATATATGCCCAAATCCTTTTAGATATACCTATAATTTTCCTAACATAGGTCAAATCTAAGCATCGACTCTCCTAACTAGCTCATCATATTGTCCTTGATGTGTGATGCACAATGGTGTGGTCGAATCTCCGTCTTCGACCGCACATACGGGTGTCTAGACATAATTGTTGTTGCTAACAAAAGGAGCAAGAAATATAAGGAATGGAAAATCCCTTTCCAATGAAAAAATTGATGTTTTTTGTAGCATCAATATCCTTTATTCTCTCCCAAGTAATATGGCTCATAAATGGTATCTTATTTATGCCTCAAACATTATTACTAATGGGAAGAAAGACATCAATAGTTAAGCCTTAACAATTATATAATGAGGATCTTGGATGTGGTGGCGGCTAGATCTCGTGAATTGCGGATGATTGGTGAAAAAGAATCTCAATAATTGGATGAAATTTTAGGTGCCAACAAAAGATAGAACTCTCAGTGGCACAAGATTTGGATCCAGTAGAAGCGATAGCAATGATAGAAGTGGGGCGGAGTTCAAGCTCCAGAGAATCAAACAAAATTACGGCCAAACATGGAGGAAGATGGTTAGGGGAATGGATCTAGATGACTATGGTCATGCAAGGATGGATCTAAAGAGGTTGGCAAAATCGCAGCGGATGCGGAGTGTGCATATTGGTACTGAATGGGAACAATGGTGAGACCGGACTTGGAAGATGATGATTGGAGGAATGTCAATCTTGAATGGGAAAAAAGGCAAGATAGGAGCTTGGACGACGTTGGTGAGAAGAATAGTATATTAACAAGGGCCCATTTATTGGATGAAGATAAACGATAATTCAAATATATAGTTTTCTCCAATATATTTGCTGCAACACTGCCTTTGACCACATATATCCAACAATTTGAAACTTTATCATTCTAATTTTAAGGCTAATTTGATTATTTTAAAGAGCTTAATTAAAATTTTTGTTATAGTTTTCTTCAATATTTCCTTTCGGGCATTTACATACATACCACTCAATTCCTAAAGATTTTCATATGTAACACCTAAAGTTTGTTTTTACATTTATACCATGAAAATGTATTATAATACTTCAAAAATACCAACGTTTTAATTTCTTATGTGGCATTTACTCATAACTTTGCTTTCTACGTTCATACCATCAAAATATTTATGGGGCATTTACATACTTAGTCGCATACATATAAAAATTGAAGTTTAAGTGTTAAATTGGTAAATACATAAGAATTTATCGGTATGTATGTTAATATAAAACAGGAAAAATAAAAATTCTCATTTTACCTCGAAATAGTAAAAACTCCAAATACAAAAAAACTAAGGGTTGGAATTAAATAAGAATATAGATGAATGTTCAGATAGACATCACCTTCCATTTGAATCAAAAAACTTAGGAGATGCAGTTAAATCTCCACCCTCCGGTCCAGATGCGCGCACAAAAGGCAGCGTCGGTTTGATATAATAGGGTGCTTGCTTATAGCTTAGCAATTGATGATTTAGTCCCTCGGTTAATATATGATGTCCGCCAACTTTTAAGCTAGAAAAACCAACGCCTTCAAATTATGCCGACACAAAACGGTGTCGGTTTATGATTCGGCATGAACCGACTAGGATAACCGTCAGTCACCCACTGGGAACTTCTTTAATGAGGAACCTATGGTTTATTTAGTTAGACAACCGTCGAAAATGACTGTGAATCTGTTGAGTCCTTGGGTGTAGAAAAATTATTCAAAATTTCAGACCAGCATAAAGCCTTTAGTTTTCCTGCCAATTTTAGGTGTTTTTTGTATGGTCAGTGTACTTAAAAGCGAAGTCTAAGCAAACCTATTTAAGTAATGCATGATATACTTGAAAAGAGAAAATTAACATAATTTTTAAACACAATTTATATTCTATTTTGGTGATTTGTGAAGAAATGCATACAGTTATCGAATTGAAAATCAATAAATGGAAAGATAGGATTTATTGATTTCTTCCATATTGGTTGAAAATTATTTTGAATTTATTGTAGGTTAGCAAAGTGCCTAGTGTGTTATAGGTTAATGGTTACAACTTTAACAGCAATAGAAAGTTAATGGTTATTGTTGTGAGGATTTCTAGGGGTGAGGATTCAATAAAGTTAGATGGATCAATTTATAAAATTTTAAATTGGACAAACGGATTGCACAACAAATTTCCAATCCGAATAAATATATCAGCAAAAATTTTGATGGATTCAAAACGGCAAGCCAATGTTTAATTTGGTTTTAGTTAGTTATGAGAGAATCGAAAACTACATATCATAACTGTGTGTTGAATATTTAATCGATGAAAAGAAAATTAACACCAAACTAAAAATGAAAAACTGAATATAAAATATCTAGAAATAAGAAATTGAAATACAATTTTGAAGCTGAACTAAATCAATCAAACCAATTCGATCGGTTTGATCTTATGATTTTGACTCAAAAAGACACACCCTAATTAATGGTTGTAGAGTATTTATTTTGTTTGTTTTTATGGGTTAATGAAATTGATTTCTGGAAGGAATTTTGGAGATAGAATTGGATTCAGTTATAAGGCTATCACGAAGTTATTATCCATAGATTGAAGACAACCTCTTTTGCTTATGCCAAATTAACTTTTTAGATGCCAAACTGAGCTTCGTGATACTAAGTGAATATTAAACATTAGATTTTTTGTTACATGAACTTTCTAAGCTTATTCAGTTGTTTGTCTCTCTCAATCTTTTGTTTTGGACGACTGGTTTATTTTAGAAAGTCTAATTGCTGGTAATCAAGGTTCTTTGGATGTTGGTTCATGCATAGATTTTAACCCTTCAAGTTATTTCCTCACTTTTTGTTGCAGGAAATTTCACCTTTATTATTCTTCTATTTGCTTCGGTTTTTTTTTTATTTTTTGGCTCGCTCTAAGATTGTGTTAAAACATTTGAAAATTGGGTTTCTGTTCAAACGAGACGAGGATGTTTTTCTACATAGATTCAACACACATTTTATTTATCAATTTTGGGGCAGTCATGGAACCTTGTTTGCTTTTTGAGCATGGAAATGACATGAATATACTCAGTCGGGTTGATTTCTAAAATTTTCTATTTTATTTGACTTTGGTGGTGTTGTTTGTTGTTCAAGTGAATTGGCTCAATGGACCAAGGTTTTTCAGGCATTAATTTTCTGGTTCAATCCGTTCTTTCTTGATTGTAGTAGTATTTAACAGATGTTCTTGTTGTTTCCTTTCAATATTTCGTATTAGGGGCTTATAAATTTTTATTTTTCTTGATATGTATTTTTATTTCATATATTTTTTTCTAAATTCCTCTTTTGTAATTTATTTTTAATTGAAAAAGATATTGACGGCCGAGGACCTCACCTTCCACACCACCACCCAAATATATATATATATTTATATATATTTATATATATATATATATCTAAGGAACGACCAAAGACGATTAGACGAGTCCCGACCATGCCTAAACATGATAAATATTTGAGTACCACACCCTATACAAGGGGGAATTCGAACCAGTGACCTAAGAGACTTACGACATTCAAAGAGGCTGCTCTACCAAAATAGATGTATATTATTTAATTTATAATTTTAAAAACTAAATTTTATTGTAACAATTTAATATAAATTTTAAAAAATCTGTTTCTATTCTAGCTATTTGAACTGTAACAGTTGTTAAGAATTCCTTTGGCTTAAATTGCCGCAACAGCAACAAAATTGTGATGTTTGAACCCACCAAATTTTTGTGTCTATTATTAAATATAAATCACCATAAGAAATATTACTGAAAACTTTCTCTACTGCCGTAATACCAATGCAAATGGTGACCGTCATAGCAGAAAGCAAGTACCAAAAAACACCGGTAGATTTACTGTTGGGTTAAAACTGCCGTCGTCGCATATTTACATGCATCTAAACCCTCTTTTCGCGTATTATAGTTGGGATATCTTTTAAATGGTATATGCATGTCAATATATAGTAAGATGCAGCCTGCCAGTTAACTACTACCAATTAATTACCTTCTAATGCATCATGCTAGTTTTGGATATAAAACGTTATAAAAAATGTAACATACATGAAGTCTCTCTCTCTAAATAAATAATATAAGAGGAAATTGAGCTCAATTTTATCGAAATTAATTTTTCAATACTGCCTAAAAGAAGTTCAATTTATTTTTTATATTATTTGATTCAATTTGTAAACTGAACTCTAATATTTACATCAATTCAACCCAAAGCTGGAAGAAAAACCTGTCAGTATATGAGATCAATCTGATTATATCAGTAATCAAGTAAATCTAAATTCTTATTATTTTAAAAACATTGGTCTTTAGCTCGTGCCATCCTACGAAAAATCATTCCAAATAAAGAATACTTAAGAAAATATTAATAGGGTATTACAATTATTTAATGAATAGATTAATATAAATAATAAGCTGAGAAATAGAAAAATGATGATCAAATAAGTTCTATATTTTTTCATTATTTTTCATAATATAAATAACTTTGTAGTGTAATATCTACTCAAAATTTACTTAAAAACCGTGCCCAAAGCTTGAGAAGTCAACACTTTTGTACACGTAAGAAAGGAGCAAGGCAAGAGCTGGCATTCACATCATTTCTATTAGCTCTTGAATGTACCAGGCACTCTCTTTCTACATCAACATTACCAACATTACCATCTCTTTTTGTATCTAGCACTCCAACCTCTCCAAGCTATCGCTTCTTCTTCCAACACAGAAAATCAGTCTCTGTAACATCAATAGCTACATCAGCAGCTAGCAACAGGCAAGCAAATCACCTCAACCCTCTCCTTTTCCCCCCATCTTCACATTCCTTTCTTTCCCTCTTGTACTTTTATGCGTTAGAGTCATAGCCCCACTTCCTTCCCCCTACCTCTTATCTTGCCTTTTAAGCATATCTTCTCTTTTTCCAATATTCTATCCCCTTCCTTTCTTCCTCCCCTCTCTCCTCACAACCGCCATCTCCATGCTTGGATGTGCTCAGCAAGGTAATCCTAATCCTAATCCCCTGAATCTTCTCTTCCTCCAATTTCCCTCTCATCTCTTCTCTCGCAGGGAGAAACAAGAAGACATAATCAAAAAGATTAAAAGCGAAGCTGATGCATCCAATCACATGGCTCGCCACAGTCTCCTCGGCTCTGTAGGCGTAACCCTAAATACAATCACTCCCTGCGCCGCCTGCAAGCTCCTTCGCCGCCGCTGCGCCCAAGAATGCCCTTTCTCCCCTTACTTCTCTCCTCACGAGCCCCAAAAGTTCGCCTCCGTCCACAAAGTCTTCGGCGCCAGTAACGTCTCAAAGATGCTCATGGTATATAGTCGCAAACACACATACACGAACTTCGTAATAAAAAAAAAATTAACTTGTCGTCTTTCTAATTAATCATCAGGAAGTTCCAGAGTCTCAGAGAGCCGATGCAGCCAACAGTCTTGTCTATGAAGCCAACGTGAGGCTTCGAGATCCTGTTTATGGGTGCATGGGAGCCATCACGGCCCTTCAGAGACAGGTACAGGCTCTTGAGGCGGAGCTCTCCGCCGTAAGAACCGAGATTCTGAAACACAAATATAGACATGCAGGCGTTCATGCGGTTCTTTTTGCCTCTACTGCGGATGTATCGGTAGCAGCGCCACCGCCGATCCATGGCTTGCCCCGGCCGGCGGCCGCCGCTGCTGCCGCCTCCTTTCCCTGTTTTGACTAGAGGCACGATTTCTTCAGCTATGTATCCTCCAGCTCCATCCAGCTCCACTGACTACAGCTCCATCACAAATGAAAATGTCACGTATTTTGGATGATAGATTTGCAAATTAATTATTTAGCATTATTTTGTTTTTTTTTTTTTTTGGTGGAAAATATAGTTTTTGAGAAATAATGCAAAAATTAAGGGTGATGAGAGTTATTCATTTGGTAGCTCATGACAGTTGTAATATCTCTTATGTTGGCTATATTTCCCAATTGTTACATGAGTTCTTGCTTCTGTGTTTTTTTTCTTTTCTATATGATTGTTTCTTTTTCCTGCTACAAATCTACATTTTTTATTGCATAATTGAGATTTATATGCTGAGCAATTGGTTTAATTGACTATATTCATGAGATCCTTCTTTTGGAATGGAAATGGGGAAAGCAAGAAAAGTGTGTTATATTCTGATCTTATTAGAGTCATTTATTGTCGTCTATGCTTGGTTTTTCACTCCGTGTTGCTGGTGTTAAGAAAAAGTTCCCCATAGCAGAATAAATATGCACTTACATATAAGAGGAGAACATTCAGAAGGCTTTTTTGTTTGGAAAGAGGAAGGCCACTTCAGGTAATGGTTCCCTACCGATGATGCCAAGTTGGCAGATCGAACGTACATGAGAAGTGGTCTACTGTTCGGTGCATAAACTTGCACATGTTTGTCAGAAAACTGAAGATCTCGATGTCTTAACATTTAATGGAAGCAGACAAAAGGGTTTGTTTCTGGTTTGATCTGCCAGTTTCTGCAAACTAGAAACTTCTGAAATGAATTATTTATCTTCTTCTAATTTATAGTGTTTAGAACTCTTGCCTTACATTTTGAGGAGATGGCATGATCTTCTGTATTATTATCTATTGATTAATAATGTCCTTTTAGAGATATTTCAATATATGAGTAGAAGAAAAGGTTATAAGAAGGTCTATTTAATCGTATCTATGTAATTTGAGTTTAAACATTATTTTAAAGCCGGTGAAGTTTAAATTGAATAAAGGTAAACGGTTCTAATAGTCTCACTTCAGGGAATCCCATTGAAACTTTATGTAATGGATATGTAAACTTGTAACAGAAAAGAATTGTTTCATAGCAGTGTTTATCGATGTAAATGTTACGTATGACAAGCATAAACACATGCACATTTACAGTATCCATATCAGAATAAAAATATTTATATAAAGACAAATATAAATCTAAAACTTACATGTAGGTTTGCATTATTTATGAGAACCATTGCTTGCAAACGCGCTGTACTCTCTCTCTCTCTCTCTCTCTCTATATATATATATAATCATGTGAATTTCATTGATATAAAAAACATTATGAGCAAAAAAGCAAAGAATTAATCTTTGTACATTTGGACAAAATCTATATAAAGACCAAGGTAAGAGCATCAACAAAAATATTGATATAGTAACTGAAATCAATGGAATTATCTTTGAGCCAAAATTATATATATATATATATATATATATATATATTAAAAAAATAAAGGAATGGCTGAAGGCTATGATACGAGCCTCGGTCATCCCTCATGCTCCTATAATCTATATATCGAGTACCACACCCTACATTTGGGGGGAATCGAACTACAGACCAGCAGGAACTTACAACTAACAAGAAGATGCCCGACCAACTGGTCTTAACATTTTATAATCAATGATTCTTTAGAATTTTATAGTCTAGATAGGGTGTGTGTGTTATACACACACGCACGCACGCCCTATCTAGACTCTTAAAATTCTAAGAAATCATTAAGTATAAAATATTGAAGTTATTAGTAGGTTTTGTAGAAATCTACTAATAATCCCCAGGAATCTACTAATAATAGGCCAGGCCGTTGAAGTTTTCAGAAAAGGGAAAAAATATATCCCCAGGCCATGAGCTCGATTGATAACCCTTTATGTATCTCACCCTCCCTAAGATGATGGTGAAATCACAGCCTTTCAGGCTCAAAAGATGCCCATTTATGTCTTTATTTTTAACAGTTAAATTAAATCACTTTATCTAATTTCTCAAATTCTTAATTTATGATTTCATCCATTAAATTCTCTAATTTTTGGGCTTGAACTTTACTATATATTTTGAATTTTAGGTGTCTTTTTTCATTAAAGAATGTGATAGAGTTCTTTTTTTCTCATTTAAATGTATGCATATTTTTTATAAACATTTCTAAATTTTACGTCGATGTACATTTTATTACATAGATTGTATTTTTTTAATGATAGAACTATATTTTTCAAATAGTGAATGAAGAAATACCTTTATTGAGTTTCATCCAAATCATTGAAGTTTTGTTGAAAGTTGAATCATCTTTTCAACCAAATAAATAAAATTATTGAATTTAATTAAATTATTATCATAATTTTATTTTTTATGTTACATTAGTATCATTATTTAATACAAAAGGTAACCGGCCAAATTCATAAAATTTGATTAATCATTTTTTTAAATTTTGTAAATGATTTGGATTAATTATAATTTTTAAAAGTAATAGTCTAAAAAAATAAAAAAAATCAATTTTTTATGTACAATTGACACAAAGGTAGAGGTCGGAGACTAAATATTGCAACCCTGTGCATCAATGCGTCCAGAGATGTGACTGTTGTGGTGGGTGACCAGCCATGCTCCCAAGCCTGTGTAAATGAGAAAATGATAAGTACCACAAAATTACATCAACCATTAAAATATTGATTATTTAGAGAATCTTACTAGCCTCTGGTAGTGCTCTTGTGTGGGGGACTGAGTCTTCAATGTGAAGGGCGTCACTCTTAGCCCCTTCGGTCTGTTTGTTCTACTGATTCGTTATCCTCATCCTCTGATAATCCAAAATGGCCCAGACTCTGGTCAACTGAGCCCAAGACTCCTGCCCTGCCCAGATGTGCAGTTCCCCCTTCTTGCAGGTTTTGGTGAACATATTACCGAGTTGATGCCTACCATAAAATACAAAAATGTGGTGGATCAACTAGTGATGCTCCGACAGCTAGTGGAAGTACCTCTATAAATTAAAAAAGTGTGCAACGTTGATAAGTAGATTAGTATAATAAAATAATTTAAAACTAGCATTCTAATGCAATAAAAAAATATTCAACCTCAAACTCTCAGAGACACATATCTCGAGTCACAATCGACATCTATTTTCAGTAGAGATGCAATGTATTGTTTCTTCTCTGGTTGATCTCCATGATGCATGTCAGGGGTGGCCTGGGGGGGAATAAACCTAAAATAGAAATATTAGTCACAAGAAATATTAAGATGAATATTGAATTTTTTTTAGTAATAAAGATCCTCCGAGTCTCCTTCTGCCACAATATATACTCATCTAAAAGTGTATTCCCTCAAAGATTGGGAGTTGAGTGGCCCAACACATTAGAAGGAGCTGGTGCGGGTGTGGGAGCTGGTGCCTAAGTGGGAGTTTGTGCGAGAGGGGCTGCAGCGGGAAGGGTTGGTGGTAGTAAAGGAGTAGTTGGACTAATCTAGGTAGTGGTGGAATGAAGAAAAGAGGTTGTAGTATGGCGGCATTGTTAATCAATACAGAACTAGTAAATTGTCTGTCAGAGAGAGCCATTGGTTTTTGCATCCTCTTGCAAGTAATCCCTATAACGCCTTGAGGAAGATGTCGATGAAATGGATGAACACTATTACCACTTGATGACATCTGTAATATGAAGAAAGAAATTAATAAAATTATTACTAATAGCAAAAGTAAGCAGCAGAAGATTTGGCGGCCTTAAAGCTGTATCAAGATTGAATGGAGTGGCGGTAGAATGTACAAGAGAGGTTATAGTGGCAGTGGTGTTGCTAATCATTACAAAACTAGTGATGTGTCTATCAGAGAGATCCGTTAGCTTCTGCATACTCTTGTAAGTACACCTTATAGTGCTCTTAGAAGGATGTCACTGGGATGGCTAACAACCACCTGATGTCATCTGTAATAGAAAAAAAGATATTAATAAAACTTATACTAATAGTAAAAGCAAGCAAGAGAAGTTTAATAAAAGAAACACATGTAAAAACAGGAATGTGCAGAATCAAAATAGGAAACATGATGTAATTACATGTAAAAATAATGAAATTAAGCATGAGAGGTATCTTATAAGCATCAAACCTGAAAACTAGAATGTGCATAATCAAAACAAGAAACATGCATGAACTACATGTAAAAACATTAGAAATATAAGAAAAACATTAAGGGAAACTAATCAACTAAACATACATATCATTTATGGTATATTTAATTATACGAGTCAGTCGATGATGAACTTAAAATTTTTTATTCAATGTCATCATATTTGTCATCCACATTTAGAGAAACTTCCTCATAAGTCCCCCTATTACCCTCTAATTCAAACATTACTTCAATGGAATCAAGTTGAACATGAAAATCTAACATACGTTGATCTTGATGGAGGATTCAATGATTGTTTGCATATTAATAGTTTTTCTTGCTTTATTCTTAATAATGATGATTCAATCAAGTTTATCCATTGCTTTACCATGGTGTTGAAGATAATAAACTTAACTAGTTTGATGTGCTATAATTAATAGATCAAAATTTGTGTATCTTAGGTTTATTTTAGCTTCAGTAATATCATATAAGCTTAGTGTTCGTGTTTCTTAATTGAGAACTAGATCAAACCACTCACAGTTGAACACAGACACAATACTGCACTACACTTTCCACAACATAACCTAGATATTCCAACTGCACTACTTGTTCCACTACAAGGTTATACTTTGCTCAGAGAGTTTGATGAAAACTTTAAAGAGTTATAAGAAAGCCTTTGCATGGACAATTGTTGATATAAAAAGAATAGTCCTTCAATTTGTATGCATATAATTCATATGGAAAAGAACTGCAAACCCAGAGTTGATCCTTAAAGGAGATTGAATCATATTATGAAAGAAGTTGTTAAGAAAGAAATTCTAAAGTGGTTAGATGCTGGAATTATCTACCTTATTTTAGATATTGCATGAGTTAGTCCAATCCACTATTTTCCTGAGAAAGGAGGAATGACTCTGGCTTTGAATGAACATAATGAGTTAATACTAACAAGATAGTCACATGATGGAGAATATGTA